TTGTAATAGGGATCAACCTTGCAATCGCGAGGCAGGCGCTGCACCACTGAGCTAAGTCCCTGGCCATAAAATATAGCTGTATTATTTTATTTATAAAGCCTACCTTTAGTCATCTCAAATTTTCTGAATTGTTCATAAAATCCCAAAAAGAACCTTTAAGGATTGCAACACAAATGTCTTGGTAAACTATAGAAAGAGCAGAGCATGAGTTCTTGCTTCTCATGTTGTGAAGGTGCAGATCCGGTCTCAGGAAAGCTGGGCAGCACATGGCACATGTCACCCTCTGGCTGTGGCCTGGGCTCCAGCCCCGCTGGATCTTCTTAGGGGAAAGAAGTGTTTGGGAGCCATGAGTCCTGGGCAGACAACAAGCCCGCAAGCTGTATAGCACCAGGACACCCACTTTCTTCCTTGTAGTACTCTACGGTTATTGTGCTTTCAGAGCACACCTGGCCTGTGGGTCTCCAGCAGTAAGTCTGTGACAGAAAGGCCCTAACAGTGACAGGTGACTCCATACAGGAGCCAGGCAAGCCCTGGGGGACTGCCCCCTGCTCTGAGCAACAATGGGTTAGAAGGCAAGTGAGGAGTCCCCTGGACGGATCCAACAGGAGGAAGGTTGGGAGGCAATGGGAGCCAGTGCCCTTGGGCCTGTTGTTTCACCCTTGGGACTTTCCAGCACTCACCTGAACTTTCCCTCTTGCTTCAGCACTCTTGTTTTTGTTCAAGGTAGAAGTTCTTGGCCTAACCAGACTTCTCATGTATTTCATATATTTAAACTGAGGACACTGCCATGGCTACTCTGCACTCTAAATCCCAATCCCCTTCCAGGTAAGGATTTGATGCTGGAGCACTGGAGACAGGGTCTGAGGGATGAGAGGCAGCAGGGTTTCATTTTACATTGTCACTTTTACCTCAGTATGTGAGTATCCTCTTTACATCACCTCTATTTACACTCTGACTCCACCTATCACCTACTTGCTCACTTTTCAACAGCCCAATAAGTGATTTTTTTTGTTTTCTTTTCCTAGTTTCCGAACTCCAAAGTTAGATTTGCAGATTGCTGATTGAACACAAAGTTAATGAAATGCAGAGGCTGGATACCCTCTGGCTACCTCCCTGCACTGTGTGGACAAGCAGGCCTGGCACTGGGCCTGGGCACCAGTGGGCACAGGAGAGTCCCCAGGACAGCACGGCTTTCCATGCCAGACCTTCTCCCCTGAGACCACAGGGGTGTGGGGCACCCTCAGAGGCATCCTCTCATCTCAGGCCCAGAAGGCAATAACACATGCAAATTAATCTTTTTGTGTTTCTTTAAAATTTGACTGCTTATCTACACTGTTTGAGGACTTAAGCTAGTATAAGATGCAAACATTTTAATAAATTATTAGGAAGAAGTTCAAGCATGAGCCTTCTGCTTCCAGGAAAACAAGAAGTCCCCTCCTTGCTATTTCACATCTGTACTGAGGCCACTCAGAGAAGTTCCCGGGGCTTCTTTCCGTCCTTGAACACAGATGGGTGGAGCACAAGCAAGTCTGTGGAGCCCCACTCCTGGCTCTAACCCTGATGATGCTGCCCTTTCGATTAGTACCTCAATGGCAGGCAAAATTGATTTAAAAATTTTACAGTTATTGCAATATTGAAATCCTTGGTTCTCCAAGACAGCCTTTAGGTGCTGCCATCTCCTCTGTACTCCCACAAGGCCTCCCCCCAGACAGCAGGGAAGCAGCATGCCTCAGCTTCCCAGAGAAAGCCTCAGCCCACCTGGCAGAAGAGCTGGAACTCAGTCCTGTTCCACTGCATGTCCCGTGTTATCACCCAGCTGTAGAACCAGGACAGCTCAGAATGAGAGTCGGGTCCAGTTCACCCAGTTCAAAAAACCTAACCCTTAAACCCATTTAAATAAAATTTGCCCAAATAAAGATCTTTTCTTGTTAAATGAATGCCACACTTTGGACAAGGTCCCAGGGAGAATCTTGGAATTTTCAAGGCCTCGCGTAAGGTGCCCGCAGCCTGTCTTTGGGCCTCATGTGAGGCCCCAGCGAGCTTGGTCCATTGCACACAGGTCATGGGCTCTGGGACCACTTTGTTGCAGAAAATGGTGATAGCAGGGGAGTGAAACCGCTTGCTGACAGTAATCAATAATTCTGATTCCCCTCTTTTCACAACAGTAAGCTGAGTGGGGCAGTATTAACTTATAGGGACAGTAAATGCAGCCCACTACAAAGAACCCTACCCCCAACTCTTTCTGCTCTGGCTATCTTGACTATCCAGAAACCACTGCATCTCCATCTCTAGGGTCCCTTCTAGCTGCAGGGGCTGAACCGCAAGCACAGCTGGAAACTGCACCCAGCTGGGTCTCCAATCTCTGGCCCAAGGGCCCGCGACCCCAGCATTTCCAGGGCGCACCTTGATCCTCCTCCCCAGCTAGGGCAGTCACACGGGTCCCTGCAGCGCCTGGCCGGGTGTCTCCTTGGCCTTCCTGCAGGTGTACAGCCACTTGATGATGCGCGCGTTCCTCTCCACAATCGAGGTGGCGCTGGGAACCTGCTCCGTGAGGGCCTCCACCTGAAGCCCGTCGTCTTCCCCGCTGCTGTTTCTGGAGAAGCCGCCATCTGAGGTGACCACGCTCACGCTGCGCACCTTGAGAGCCACGCGGTCCGAGCCCGCGGAGAAGTTGTCCCTACCCAGCGCCTCCACTACCTCCGGGTCCAGGCCGCAGAATTGGAAGAAGGCGTCGCGCTCGGCCCCGGGGTTGCAGCTTCTCAGGCTGAGGTCCGAGTTCGAGCGCTGCAGCCCCGGGCGCCGCGATGCCCGCGGGGC